AATCTACATTGATATCAATTCGGCTAGGGAGCCGAAAACTCGGGCAATCAAATTTGTGAACTGTGCGACTATTTAAATTGACCACTGAGAGTGGCCTCAGCAACAGCAACAACAAAAATAACAACGAGAACTTTAACTTTAAGTGGCTCGGGATCTGGATCTGGTCAGCTTCAATGGGATTCTCTTGATTGTTTTCGATTCTAGCGATTGCCAACAACAACAGCAGCAGCAGCAACAGCAGAGGCAGCGGCAGCAACAGTTGGCAGCAAAGTTCAATCGCGATAAATTGGACGATTTCAGCAAGTTTTTAAATACCCTGCAGTCATGTGTTGTAATGCAAAAGGGCATACAAAACTGCGAAAGACTGAATGTTACAATCGATTGACAATGGGCTTTGTATATTTATATAAATATCAAATCTTTTTTAAAGAGCTTTGGCAAAATATAAAAGTTGATGGCTGTTTAAAAAGTTTAAATATATATATGAAATATATTGCAGATTAGCTGTTTTACAAAATTTAGCCTGAGGTTGCTGTTTTAATTTAATATATATCATTATACATTAATAAAATATTTATGATTATATGAGATCTTTTCAAACAGTATCGGCTATTTAGTTATCCATGCAAATATATTGTGTACCCTTCAAATCGACAGCAGATCAAGCAGAAACCAAATTTTTATTGACACCTTGATTTCATTATTCAATATTCAATATTTGAAGACGATTCATGGATGGATAAATGGATATTCCATTTAATATATGCCTATTTTTATATAAATATTTTTTATAGCTAAAAAATAAGCTACATCTTTTATTAAATTTATTAAATACATTTCTTAAGCTTTTCAAATTTGCTTAAAAAAAAAAACCAATCTTGTGTTATTTTATTTCTATTTATTTTGTTTGAATTATTCTTTGCTTTATTTTGGCTAAGGTAAAAATCGAAAATATTAATTTTTGGCAATTTATATATAGCTGTGAACTTAAGTATGAATATTTTGTCATTAAAATAAATGTAAATAAAATACATACAATTTTTTGCTCAGTGAGATATCGAAGCAATACATGAAGATATCTATAAGTAATTCATTTCCGGAAATTTATTATTGCTGTACTGTTTGCACAGATCTCAAATACATATATATATTTCACATATCAAATAAGAAGTTCTGATATGTCGACTACATTCCTGAGAAGACAGATAAGGAAACAGCAAAATAAGCTTTGCTCAGTGAGATATCAAAGCATAATAATATCTAAAGATATCCATAAAAAGTTCCATATAAATGAAGTTATATATATGTATATTTATATATCGCCTAAACATAGTTCAGCACAAGGTCTTATGTAAATTGTCGATGTCAAGGCTTATAAATGATATGTACTCTAAACAAACAATACAAACTGAATGTTAATTTATGCAATTGAATCCAAAGTGGACTCGATGAATGCGTTTATATAGAACGTTTAGTTTATATTCTCAATTAGTTTGAGTTCGTTTGTTTCGGCAAGTGGTTCGCAATTAAAAACAGCAAAAAAATGACAAAATATTTAATAGGATTATGTTTTTTGCTATCGCCGCTGTGGGTGGTCAATTGTGAAAGATTGCCGGTGAGCTTTGATAACTATCTCACCTAACTTCTTAACTATGTAGACTTTGTTTCATATTAGAAAACTTATGCAAGTCTGGAACGCCAATTATCGGCGCTGCAAACCGAGCTCGAGAATAAAGACGAATTAATAGCAATGCTAAGAATCAAAACGCTTAACGAACAGGAAAGAATCGCAGAGCTAGAGAAGAAACTAGCTGAATTGACGCAATCGAGCAATAAATGCCAAACCAGCAGCTGTCTGTGCAAATCCACAGAACTGCATGAGATCAAATTGCCGGGCGGGCAAGCCTTTCAAGTGTCCTGCGACTCGAGCCTAGTGGATCCTGGCTGGACCGTCATCTTGCGCCGCATCGATGGTAAAGTCGGCTTCAATCGCAATTGGAGAGAGTATCAACAGGGCTTTGGTGACTTGCGTGGCGAATTCTTCATCGGACTCGATAAGCTGCATCAGATAACGAATTCGCAACGCCACGAATTATATATATATTTGCGAAATGAGCATAATGAAACACGCTTTGCGCGATACGATAATTTTTTGATTGCCGACGACAATGATTCGTTTCGAATCAAGTCGCTGGGCGTCTACTCAGGAGATGCTGGCGATGCCATGGCTGCCCACTTGAATATGCAATTCTCAACGTTTGATCTGGATAATGATAATAGCAATAGGAATTGCGCCGATGAAAATAGCTCCGGCTGGTGGTTCAACAATTGCTATCAGTGGTATGTGTGGGATGGATATTTAATTCTATAAATTATTGAATCTTTTCTTTTTTTTTTCGGGATGAATTTTCAGCAATTTGAATGGTCCCTATAACAGTGGCTTCTATTGGTATAAATGGCAAAGGAATTTGCTTAAATTTGCTCAAGTCATGATTCGACCCAAAGAGCTGTAGAAGGAAGAGTGTGAAGAGTCTTGTTGAATGGAAATTTAATAAAGAAAATATTTAAATGGAAGATATATAAAATAAATGAGAGAATTGGGTATGCTTATAGTGCCGCAGCTTAAGATATTAAAAAAGAGCTCGAGTAATTGGTGCACATGAAGTCTATGAAATTATCCAAAGTAGCTTAAAAAGCAATTTAAAAAGTTTGCTATATCTGTAAATTGTTATCAGAACTCCTATTGAGCTGATCTCAAATAACAGAAAAAGAACCTGACACAGGTTATTCACACTTGTAAGCTGAGATGATGTCATTGCATTGGCATGGCTTAAGAGATAAATATAGAGAGAGAGACAGAGAGGGAGAGCTTTGAATTTCATAGGATATATCATAGTACGACTAGCTCTAGTTCTCTGCTCTTGGCCCATATAACTTGAACTTGACCACACGCACGACTAATGGCAGCTGGCTCTCAATCATACGCTACACTTCAATACTCAATGAGCAAGCATAAAATTTGGTTGTTGTTGTTGCGTTTTGCAAATTCTAGAGCAATCGATGTAGGAAAGACACAAGTGAAATTTGAAGAGCGCGCATTAATTGCAAATGCTATTGCGAGAGTTTTATGGGTGTTTGTGTGTGCGTGCGTGTGCAAAGGTAACCAAGCAAATCAAAACAAAGGCAAAATAAGCACTTGTATATATTGAATGGACTTGGAATTGGCGCAATTATAAAATGCGAAAGAATTTCGCATTTATTTTTATTTATTTATTTCTATTTTTTATGGAAAAGTTGTATCTGGCAAATCGATTAATAAGTGGCACATCATGTGTATCTGGCGTGCAGCTTGTGCGTGCGACCATTTAATTATGGCCGAGTGGAGATGGTCAACGCTGATGCAGTTAGAAGCCGAGTTGGCTGACACACAAAAGCCTCAAGCCATCCGAATACAAAGTATCCAAGTCGAAGTCAGCTATGCGTAGCTAACGGTCTGAGCCGCATGCCCAGTGGCATCAATAGAATCTTTCGGCTTAGATAATTGCCATAATGCTTAAAACTGTAAAATCTTAATTGTAATCAACTTTGGCGAGTTGTTAGCCAAGTTGTCTAACTACTTTCGGATTCCATGTGAAAAGTTCATTCTAGCAGCGTTTAAATCAAATTAAATAATAATTGAAATTCTTTTTTAAAAATATGTATATATTCTTGTTAAGTAGAAAATCTTCAGCTCTTTCTAGCTTTTTTTTTTTTTTATTTAATAATTATTATTTACTCTAAAACTTTATTTTCAATTCAATATTCTTTATTTATCCTACGCTTATTGAAAATCATGAAAAACTTTTTGCAGTTCACTTAACTCTCTCATGGCTTTTGTTGCCTTCCTTTTAGCTGGGAGGTGGGCCCAGCATCATCCGCTTTGATAGCTAAATAAACTATTAACTGATTAAAATCGAAAGGGGCAGCCGAGCCAAAACTGTGCAATCAAGCTCAATCACTCAGATGGGCCAGCCCGTTGCAGAGTGCACTAAATTAGTAGACGCCTCTGCATTTAGAGTGCTATGGCCTGAAGCGTGCCTTTCAATTTCATTTAAATGGCTTTGCTGCCCATTCTTAGCTGAAAGCCAACAACGCAGACTGTAAACAAAAGCTACAGGAATTAAGCCTTCAACTAGGCATCAATCAGCGCTCGCGTAACGCACAATACACTGCGAGAAAATTGTTGTTGTAAGTTGTTAACAAGCAGTAGAGTATTTTAAATGATTTGATAAATCGTTAAAACGGTTTTTGGGGCAGCAATAAAACTGAACAAAACATATAGGAATATAAAACATATAAAATATCGACTTTTTAAACAAGAAAATGATTATTAGGCTAAAGTCTGCCTATATTAATTAATTTCAACTTCATTTTGTTTATTCGATTTTTTTTTTAATTTTTAAAATACCATACCATACATTAAAAAAATAAAATAAAAAACTATATCAAGATATATAATTTTAAAAAATGTCTAGTATTGGTTCCCTAGGTTTAAAAAATTTATGTAAAATACTAATAAAATGAATAAATAATAATAAATAAAAAATAATAATAAAATAAATAAATAATAATAAATAAAAAATATATTTTTTATATAAACAAACTGAGAATTTGTTTTGTTATTTTTGTTTAGTTAAGGAAATTCAACAAACAACAATTATCAAAATAAACCTTGATAAAGACAGTCAGTCGAATGTAAATTTCAACTCAAAAGGCATTAATCATATTTTTAATAAAATTCAATATTTGTATTCATAGTAAGTTATTTCAATTAAGAATAATTTTTGTGGCCCAGCAAAAATCCTAATCCTTTAAGCAACGGCATTTTTTTTTTTTTTATTTCTATATTTTTACAAAACTTAACCCAAGGCTTGAGCAAACTTAATTTAAGCAATGCATTGCAATGGCATTTTATTTTTGTGTATATTGGTTTTTGTGTACTAGTTGTCTTGGGCTCTTACCTTGCCATAGCTGTTCAGTGGTCCATTTATCCAGCGATCTGCCTCCAAGCGACCGCTGAACAGCGCTCCAGTGTCCGGATCGATGCGTTGCCATTCACGCACCTCGCGCTGAAATGGTGAACGGGAACCGCCGACGCTGCTGACGTTGTTGCCACTGCCGACAGCAGCACCACCAAGACGATTATGCTGGTGATGATGATGATGATGATGATGGCTCTGACTGTGATTGTTTGTTGTTGCCACTTCCATGTTGTCTGTCGTTGTTGTTGTTGTTGTTGTTGCTGCTGCTGTTTCAGCTCCTTTCGTGCTACTGTGCGCTTTTAATTTGCACACTCGACGCGCTCGAGCTGCTCTTGACTGAGAGTTGTTTATGGTATGCTTTGTGGTTGGAGGGCAGCTCTAGCTGCCGCTGCTGCTGCTGCTGCTGCACTGACTCCAGTTCTCTAGCTCCAGTTGAGGCCCCTCTGTCTATTCGCTTTTACCTATTTCAAATTATTATTTATTGTTATTATGCTACCGTCTGGCTGGCCTGCTACAGCCGTTTTCGTTACTAAATTAATGGCAACTTTAATTTATTATCATCATAATCATTTTCTCGACGTTCTAGCCTAGAAGCTACTGTACGCCCCGCCCCCAGCCCCCCTCAGCTGCCATGCTAACTATCATAATTTTCTTTGCTTTTCCTTTTCTTTCTTTTTTTTTTATTTTTTATTTTTGCACGCTTTGCTGACTGTTTGCTTTTATTTTTTATTATTTTTGTGTTTGTGTTGTTGCTGCCGTGTGTGTGTGTGTGTTTGCTGAAATGACAAGAGCAGAGTAGAAAGAAGTTTTCATTAGTTAATTATATTGCATAGTGTGAAAATGTGTATTATATATTGTTGTTGTTGTTATGCTGTGCCGGAAGCCGAGTGCCTTGAACTAACAAATGCCTCAAGTGGAGAGCCGTGCAGATTTCTAATTAAATTTGCGGCCAACGTCCAGCGGATGTGTTAGATCCAGAGGCGCACGTTGATCTCAAGCATGACTGTCAGTTGAAGCTGTCAGCACTCGGCGGATGTCACAGTCTATTTCCGCCTGTAAAATACTTGTACTTCTCATTCGTTATCTCTCTAACTCTCTCTGAGTGTGTGCACCTCCCCTTCTCACTCTGTCTGCGTTCATTTAAGGTACTTAATTGAATTGGTTTTTGCTGGCTGAACAGTCGGTCGAAGAATCGCCTGTCCAAAATACCAACAAATGTCGCAATGACAGCACAAATCCATTTATTATTGTCAAACTTGCGTAAGAATTTCATTTATTATTTATTTTTTTTTTTTTTTATATGTGGTCAACGACATCATCTTGCTTCATGGGTGTGCATTGGCACGATGGCTCAAGAAGAATTTTTTAAAATTATGGAACAAATTTGTTTGTAGTATTTATTTAAATATATATAATTTAATAAGAAATATAATTTCTTATTTATTTACATTTTATGTTGTTCTGTTTTATTATTATTATTAATTTGATTTTTTTTCTTTTTTTTTTTGTGTCAGCAATATTTAAAAAACAATTTTGTTTATAAAATTTCATTTATACAAAAAATATATTTTTATTTTGATTATTTATAAAAATGTTTTTAATGTTATATATTAATAAAAATGTATTCTTTGTCCAAAAATAATTAATTTTATATTTGTATAATTTTATATTTAGTTGCGAGTTGCCCACGATTTGTCCCACTGTGCGCTGGCACTGTGAAAACAAGTGTTCAGGTGGAATTAACACTGAAACGCCAGTTTGACTAAGTAATAAACCGAATTTAGCACAGAAACCGACTAGGCGCTGCACTCACTCCCAGACCCACTTTGAACACCAGTTGAGCAAACTCTCCCTTGCTTCCCCACCTCTACTCAATTTTCCGCTGGTCAAGTTTAAAGAAAAGCAATTTTACTGCATATTTTATGGGAGAGGCAAAGACAACGATGCCGATGCCGATGCCGTACTAAATAGTAACTGTTGTTTAGTTTTTCTCTTTGGTTTTCATGTCGCTGATCTTTGCGTGTGGAGCGAGTGAATCGGTGCTCAGGCATTAACTTCCTCATATGTGTATGACGCGCGTTGGCCAACAAAACACCAATAAAATGGGCATGGAAATAAAATAAATTGGAAATGAAATAAAATGTGAAACTCGTTTTCGCCGTTGAACTTGCACTCGTTTCGGTTTTTGGCCAAATGCGTTGTGCTCCAGTCTCTTACTGCAACACTTAGGCCAAGAAATAAAAGTTGTTGGCTAAGAAAAATGCTTGGAAATAGTTTTTATTTTTATTTTATTTTATTTTATTTTTTTTTTGCTGTTGTTCGCGTTGCACTATTTCACTGGCGCACGCAACTTGGCCAAAAGACATTCACATGCCGCAGAGTGGACACGTTTTGCCGGTTTTGTGTTTTGTACTTTGTGTGTTTCTGCTGTGTTGTGAGCCGAGTGCGAGCAGCTCTTGATTGTGTTAATTAAATTTTAATTACGCGCAATTATGTATAATTAGATCGCATACGCCGCATGCTGCTGTGCACCGCTGCGTTGCCAATTTATTTATTTCCCGTTGTCTGTTGCCCAGCTAATCGCTGGTTATTCATTTCTCAACCTTATCGCCGCTGAACTTGTCAGCGTGCAAGCAAAAAAAGAAGGTTACAGCCAGCTCAAACATTATTTAAACTAATTGTATGCATTAGTTAGACGAACGTGTATTAATTGCTGACTGCGACCTGGACGCCCTGACTATTTGGCTAAATGATAGGGGCCACTTGAAATGAATGTGATGTGTATGCGTGAATGTGTGTGTATATGTGTGTGTGTGTGTGTTGAGTTACATTCTAAAATATATTTATGGCTGTCAAAAACTTTTTGTTCAACTTTTTTTTGATTGTTTTTATCTGCCATCTTAGTTTGATCTATTGAGCTGTTAGCTAAGTGAAAGCAACTTGATCTAGATATAGTATCGTTGCAAACGTAGATATTTTGAGTATTTAAAGAGACTTATATTTTGGCATTAACATAAATTTTGAAGTGTGTTATTTAATAACTTATGAATCTCTTTGAATATCTTGCGATGCTGTCGAATTATGTTACCTGTGCCCTGTGCATTTTTAAGACTTAGCTTAAGAGAGCAAACAGGATCTATACATGTCTAAAATTTTTCTACAAAGTACATACTCGTTTTATTTAACAAAAAATGTAGAAAAATATTAAAACTATTGTAAAAAGCCATTTTATAATTTTAATGCAGTGCACAATTTTTTTCTTTTTGTATATATAATTATACAAAATATATATACATACACTCATAAACTTATCCAGTATATGTCATATACTACATTTGTGTTATATGTAAAATGTAATACCAGAGATAGAGAGGTAGATAGAGCGAGAGAGGCAGAGAGAGTGAGTCGTGTAACCCATAAAAAACTTCCCAGTTATGTGGCTTTCAGTTCTGGGCTATGTAACCGCAAAGCCAGCTGGGAACCACTGGCAAACGTGAGACGTTCAAGTCTAGTTGGTAAACATGGCTAGCGGACCTTTTATGAGCATGTGCCGCGGCTATTGCGAAGGTCAGTGCGAAAAATAATCATAATAATATTGCGATGAATTTCTTTCTCCTTGTAAGCTGTTATACTTACATATTTATATTATTTTATTTTTACAGTTTGTTGTCGACCGCAAAGCCATAAAGCGAAAATACATTTTTTTTATGAAAGTTGCTTTGGGTGGGAGATATACAATATATATATAATATTTTATATTTTACTTATTTTTTTATTGTTATTTGCATTTGCATACCAAATGCGATGAGTAATTGTTGTTCAATTGAAAATTTTGACTCAAAATATTGTTATTTATGTAGGTTAATCCGTTACTTTAGGTTTTTTGTTACATTTGACAAATTAATACATAAAAAACATTATATTTTTGTATATATATATATGTACATGTGTGAGTGTGTATATTGATTGATTTATCTGTTTGTTTAAAAATAGTTTGGCAGCGTGGGCTGACTCTTGGCCATTTTTATTTTTATACGCAGGCGTCTGGCATTGAAAGTGCGTAACAAATAAAAAGTGCCAAAAGTAACCAAACTAATTGTCTATTGCAGAGCCTGCGGCTAAAAAAGAATCTGATTTTTGTACCAATTTATTTTTTGTTATTTTAAGCGCGTGCGCCACAAACGACAAAAAAAAGTCGTGCAACAATTGACCGAAATGCAAATCTCGTCTTGTTTGCAGTTCACTTGTTGGACTCGAAGATTTGCATAATTGGCGCGCACAGTCGTGTGTTCTTATTCGAATGTTGAAACAGAAGCACGCGCGTGTCGGACCATGCGTCAGTCTGACAGCCACCATAAATACTAAAGACTTAGGCAACAAACTTGATCGCAAGTGTGAAAAAAGAGAGAAAACGAGCATAAACATGAGGCAACATGCAAGGCGACTGCAATCACAACTGGATATAACATGCGACAAATACAACATAGCATAACCATATATCATTATTTGATCAAGATTTGCCGATATGATAGTTCGATTATTGTAATTGCATTTGTGAAATGTTTAAATTGTTTTTTGTTTGGTTATTGTATTAGATATACTAGATTCATAATAGAGTATGTAAATATATGCATTGAGTTCAATGGAGCTACAAAACATTCGGTTATTGATAGGTAATGTTAATCAATTTGCTTGTTATTTAGGTTAAGACCGATTGCAAATAACATATGAACTTAAACAAAAATATGTATGAGTTATCATTGGAAATAGTAATTTAGAGTCAAACTTATGATAGCCTTTTTATTTCCTAGAAATCGTTTAAAGGTTATTTTAAGCATGAGTTGTTTATTTATAGCACATTTATTAAATAGAAGCTGCTTTTTTTTTTTTAGTATTCTGTCTATACTCAGTTCTTCAAATAGCAAATTTTAGACTCTTCTGCAAAACTCTTTAAGATTTGTTTATTTATTTAATTATTTCTATAGAAATAAACATAACACACAATTTTTTTTTTTTACAATTGTATTTTTATTTATTTATTTATTTTTGTTTTTTTTTTGAAGTTCAAGTTTCTTCATAATCTTATTATATCATTTGAACAATCTCTCAGTAAAGAATAATTCACTTCCTTGCTATTTCGACTTTTGTTTTTCTTCATTTGTTGCCGCTTATCTGTTCTCCTTTCAACATTAATCTTTGACTTCAAACATTGGCCGATTTATATACATTTATTTCAACAATATACTGGCATATGTCTCAATTTTCAGTATCTGAAATCTATTTGATATTTGACTCAAGCTTTCAGCACAAACTATTGCAACAATTCAATTATAAAAAATACTTTTAGATAAAAGTGCGGCACATAAAGAAACAGCTACGCCCCGCATTAAAAATGATATATATATATATATATATATATATATATATATATATATATATATATATATATATATATATATATATATATATATATATTTAGAGTCAGACTATATACCTCTATATATATAAACCACAAGCTTGTTGGCAATTTCTATGTGCTTTGTGCTTCCGTCTGCGTCATTTTATCCATATTATAAATCTAACTCGATACGAGAGGCTGTGCCGCTTTTGTTTTTGTTGCTTTTGCTAAGATGTTTTGTTTGCGGCTTGTATTTTTTGTTATTCTCATTCAGGTTGTAAGAAGGGTATATTGGTTTTATATCAACGTGAATTAGACTTGAAAATTTAAAAAGCATTATCTCATGTAAACATTATAGATTTGCGAGCTATTTTAGAATGAGATTTTTGGGATAAAAAAATGCGTAATACTTTTTTTTTTTTTTAATTATATATATATTATACTTCCTTTGCAATATATATGTAATAGAATATTTAAATTATATTTGTATGCTTTTAAATTTTATATGAGTATCATTTAGTCTACTACGCGCAGTGAAATTGTTTTCAGTTGCTCAAAAATAAATTAATTTTTAATAAATTTGTTTCTAGCTTCATTTTTTTTTACATACGGTTCAACTTTTTTGTGGTCGCAGCGTACCGCAATGTTTTCGTTTAGCGTCTGTGATTAGACACACGCAAATGTTTCTTCAACTTCACCCCAAGACGACTTCCTCATGTGAGGGGGGTAAAAAGGGCTTACAGACTAAATAAATGCGCAAATCTTTTAATTATGATGTAGATGACATGATACGACCCGTTGAGTACCCGCACTTGTTGCCTGTGGGCGTGCCACTGGCCATTTGCATTGATTAATTAGTTAAATGAGTCGATTGCAATTTAATTAAGCGACACAGATTTATGGCTTTTTTAATGTAATCTGCTGTAAGCCAGTTGTAAAATGGATGCTAACTGGTTTGCCTGCAATTCTCTGCATTTACATATACATCTATATATATATATATATATATATGTATTTGGATTTTAATTTTTTTTTTTTTGCTCGCCTTTTTTGTCTTGCCAAATTGCAAACAAAATTACATAATTCGCGTAGAGACAAAGTTTGCAGCTTTCAGACATTCACACTCTGCCCACAAGTGAGGCGAAAACTGGTAATTGTCGTATTAAAATTTATCCGCGTTGCTGTTGTGACAAAAGTAACAGATATATTATATAGACAGCATTATATCTTCCGTCCAATGAAAATTACACTTTATGATTTCCTGCAACGCCCACCAACACACCATTTGTGTGTATGTGTGTGTGTGTGTGTGTGTGTTTGGTGTCTATTTCTCATGTACTTAACACTCGTGTCGTATGCGTAATTTCACCTAGCCGCTGCGTATGCGTAATGTTTCATGAAATCTGAGCCGACTCTTGTGTAATTTGCCTTTCGGGTAAAAGTGCGCGAAAGTTTTTCCTCCATGAAAATCATCGTCTACAAATTTGTTGGTAATCTGCGTTAATTTTGTTCATCTCTCACTGTTATTTTTTCGTTCGCTACCGTTACTTCTTAACACTTGAGTTCGTTTTATGGCAAATATTTGCGACTTTGATTAGCAGCAAAGCCGAACAAAGACTTAAATGACAGTGGGACGTTCGTTTTCCTGTGTGCCCATTAAATTTAGTTTGATATGCAAATGAAGATTATTTGCGTTCAGTTGATGATTGAATATTTTATTTTTTATATTTTATATTTTATAATTTATATTTTATCTTTTATATTTTATATTTTATATTTTATATTTTATATTTTATATTTTATATTTTATATTTTATATTTTATATTTTATATTTTATATTTTTATATTTTTATATTTTATATTTTATATTTTATATTTTATATTTTATATTTTATATTTTATATTTTATATTTTATAATTTATATTTTATATTTTATATTTTATATTTTATACTTTATATTTTATATTTTATATTTTATATTTTATATTTTATATTTTATATTTTATATTTTATATTTTATACTTTATATTTTATATTTTGTATTTTATATAACATTTTGGCACACCCTCAATGAATTTTAGAAATTGTAGATATCTATGTATAGAAAATAGTGCTACTTCTGCTCGTACTTTCACAAATTAAGTAGCTACTCTTCCACAACCGCGCACTAATTTCATACTTGTATTCATAATATGCTCTGCTCAACATGATAATAAAGTCACCCAGCTCAGCAGCGATTATTTCCGCATGCAACTGAAAAATTGCACTGAAATGCGAAACAAAGAATGAAAATTCAAAAATTATTCAACCGACACAAAACAGAACAAACAAAGAACCAAAAAAAAAAAAACCCCAAAACAATTTAAGCTGTCAAAAGGCTGACAGACTGACGAATTGCCTGACAGTTTTTCTCCTTTTTTTTTGTGATTTTTAAGTAAAGTACTTCAATGTTGGTTCCTTAACTTTTTGAATGCATTAAAAAATTGCGCGCAACCTTGTTTCGGGTTGCTTGTTAACATTTTTTTGTTGAACTGACTTACAATTAAATAAACCGTTAAGTTGTGTAATTTCGGCCAGGCTAACGGCACCAAATAATATTTTGAGGTAGTCATTGGACTTTACTAACACAGACACAGATCTTCCGCACTTTTGCTACCAGTTTAAACAAAAAGACTTGAGCACCAAACTTGCTGTAAATGGGCACAAAATGCCGACAGAGAGACAGTAAAAGCCCCACTTGTTAATCTGGCAAACACCCTTACGATTTTTTTTTGTGATTTCTACAGAATTGGTCTTAATGGGCGTGACTCATTGCGAACAGTATTTCATGACGAAATGCAAAACGCACTTCGAACTTGGCATAAAACGAGAATATATAATATATTTTATATACCTATGTATATATATATTATATATTTATATTTTTAATTAGCATGCGAATGTGAGGCAAGAGACAAACGACAGACGGCACTCGGCATACTCAGCCTGTTGAGAAACACCCACGCTTTACACATATATATATAGATATATATATATTTCTGTATATAGGTACGATTTATGCAGCTGCTTTTCTGAAATTTAATTTTCGAGCTGCCTTCTGGGGGACGCGACTACAATTAAATGGCCATCATGCTTAGCTACAGCTACACTTGCACTTTAATAACTGGTTTCGAGCGCAGCGACAAGATTTTTGTATGTATCTGTAGCTGTAGCTGTATCTGTATCTGTGCCGTATCTGTATCTCTGTATGTGAATATCTGTACATCTGTCCGCCCTGCGTATGCTAACTGACATCGAGTGTCATAACGTGAGCTGCGGTCGAAAAACTAAGACTGGAACGCCTTCAAAGTCAAGTTCAATGACGTACTTGCCATCTGGTACTTTAAATGGCTGTGTATTTTAGTGTTTGCCCGTTTTGGATGGCCAAAGCGATAAGATTAGAGATACGTATTTGTACATACAAGCCAAGCACACATATGTAGAGAAAGCGAGAAAGAGATAGAGCTAGACTGAAAGCGAGGAAGAGACACACCATCGAATGGCAAGCAGCTTGTTAGCTAATTTATGGGCTAGGGTCGATTGCAAACTGTGTTTCGATTTGCATATCTAATAGGCCATAACTGCTGCTGCTGTTGCATATCATTATATTGTAGTTTAGATTTAAAAGGTTTAAATAAACATTTCTAGATTATGTGAACTCTTGATGTCACAAATCTAAACGAGCAGCTGTTGAGCACAAGTTGTTGTAATAGAAAGATTAGATTTATTGATTTTGCTGGGCTGCACAGTGAGGAAGCTAAATAGAGCTGATGTGGATCTCTCGCACTTTTTCTGTTGATATATTTTTGTTACTAGAAAACACTTTTTAAATGTTTTGCTGATAAATAGACAAAATATATGGAACCTTGTCAAATGTTATAATTAGCACTGGCTGCTGAGGTCTTCTGATATATATATAATATTGAAACACGGCGTTTCTAGTTTCTATAAAAAATAAGATCCACTCTATATATTTGTTGAATAAAGTATTTATTTGATAGCTGGAAACTCTTCTTGCTGTCTTCACATATGTTTTTACAAAGAATAAGCAAATGACTTACAACTCTCAGTCTTATTATTTTTGTGTTCACTAAACTGTCTTCTGGGTATGCTCTATATTTTCTTTCATATAAGTATGTATATGTAGAGACTGCGTCAAGTTGCTCACCTTCCATTCTAATTTTATGCTTCTACAGCTGCGCTCAATAAAGAAATTGCCACTGTGCTCTATTTCTCAGTGTGTCTTTGCAGAATAGCGATTTCTAGTTGTCCTCTCTTCATTCACGAATAGAAATCGGCATGTTGCATGAGCACATTGTGAAACACAGCCGGGATCCATCAGGATTGTCTTTCTAACGGCGCTGTCCAAACGGCCATCGCACTCTCACTCGGGAACGGCCGACTTACGGTTAGTATCTATCTCTATATCATAATTGAGAAGATTTTTACTAAAACGCAGACTCACTCGATTAATATATTTAATGCTTTATATGAGAGCTTAAGCAGTTTGATATATGCACACTTGTATAACCAAATTGAAGGCTTTCGATTGAAAGCTTTCATATGAAAAAAGTAGATATACTTATAATATATCAAAAATATTTCTACTGCAGATAATTTAAGAAAAGCTTTTGTATACATCCTCTTATGTAGCAAATATTAAACTATAATATATATATATATATATATATATATATATAGCAGAGAGCCCTGCTAGTTTCAAGCATTTCGAGACATAGGATATATTTCATTTTAATATCAAAGAGCGTAAGTATAATCTCGATAATCAATTAAAAAGCATAAAATACAAATGATTGATTAATTCAGGGCAAAAATCATCTGAAGAAAAATGCCTATGAAAAATTTTACTTATGCTACAATAAAGCGATATACATTATGTACGTATAACAATATAGATATTGCAATTTGTTCAGTCTACTTATATATAAATTACTTTCTGTGTATTCCAGTTAAAATATAGACATTTTTTAAAAGAGATTTTTTTCATAAAATATTTTGATTTTTAAATAAGAATTCAGTTTGTGGATATCATATATTCTAATCTTTTCAAATGTATTTTAACATTTTAACAATTCTTGTAACCCTGGCTTAAATGCATATCGTTTGTGCACAAGCATTCTACTTGTCAAGCTAAGCCCGTCTTTGTCTTGGAATTTATCTCTCCCTGTCTCTTGATCTACTTTCCAAGGCTTTGTTTTTCCCTCGTTCAATTGCTGTCCATCAACTGTCACTTAAGTGCTGCCAATTTGGGCGTTTACCGCCCATTTTGCTGTTGTACTTTTCTTTTTCATGGCGCGCTTATTGATGCCACACTTTCGTTTGTATTGTTGTGCTGTAGAACAGTTGAATAATGTGCGAAATTTGCTTTTATTTCATTTGGCCATTTGCCGGCTGTTGACAATGGAGAGACAACAAATCTTCTGAACTTTCTTCACTTAAGCTAGACTGAGTGAACGTTCATGCATATCATTATACGTACAGCACCCAATATTCAGTACTCGACAAGAAATATATGAGTTTGGCTCACTTTGATTAAGTTGTTAGGCCATTGCCTATTGTGCGACTGGCAATTGAGATCAGAGTCTCTCAAAAGAATTGTAGAATGTGTCATAAAATGGCGCAAAATCTGTCAGAGATTTGTCTCACAGCACAGAAAACGTGGGTGAAAGTTGTTTCAATTTCATTCTGTTTCTGTTATTTATTTTACTTTTTTGTTGTATTATTGTTTCAGTGTTTCTGCTTACATTCTTCTTTTCATTGAGAGTAAATAGTGGGTACTTCGTAGTACATGGAAGTACTTAGTGAATGATATTTGCGTGAGAGCTCAACATTGAAAGTTTTAGCTCAAAGCGTGGGTGTTAGGGAATTCTGTAAATCTTAAGATAGAAAAGACAAGACAAATAAAAATAGAAATAATTGAAGGTAGAGTGGGAAGTAAACGAGTTGAAGTTGCTAATCCAGCAGAACTTTACCAAAGCTCAGACAATTTTTGAGAATATATGCCTTGATTATTTGACTTCTATACATCATTCAGTTTTTTGGGCGTGCTTTGATTTTTTAGCCTAGATAAATATATATTTTATATAAATTTTCTTATAAATATATATTCTGCAATCTAATTGGGTAACTGCAATTTATCAATATTTTCAAGCCAAACTATTTATTTTCAAGCTAGAATTAACAACATAACCTCTCTCGATCAACTTGATTTACATTCGCAAGCGCCTGCTTTGTCATATCCTGCTAATAAAGTTTACAGCGTTTAGGCCGCCTTCAGGCTGACTGCCAAAAAGGTAACTGGGCCATAAATAAAGTCAGCAAACGGCACTTATCAGACGGCCAAAATCAAGCCAACATACGTTGCACAGTCATAGCCACAGCCACAGTCGCAGCCAGAGCCACACCCCCTTTTGTGCGCCTACGCCCATGCACATGAAATGTGACAAAATATAAATGAGCCGCTATGAACGAGAGAAAAATTTGCCTGCACATAAAAAACGTATTCAGGAACTGCATATTAAATGAAGCGTAACGAGAAAAGGCGAAAGAAACATGACCACATAGGAGAGACATGCGCAGGAGGGGGGGGGAGAGAGAGAGCGGGCGGGGGCCTTTCGTTACCCTGCTCATAGGGCCAAAAGTTAATTACATGCGACGCCTACAACGGAAATGCCAGCGACTTGTTAAGGTTTCTGTGTGTGGTCAACAAGTCTTGGCCTGTGCGCCTTATTTTTCCTTTTCAATTTTTTTGTTTTTGGTTTTGTTTGAAAGTGAAATATGAGCTGATTTATCTGTGGTCAGTTGGCAAAAATTGTGCATATACTCAGCAGATGGCAACGAATGGGTATATGAGCCGTGGAAGTGATTGAAAAGTCGAGGTGATATTAAGATTGTAAAGTAACAAAAAAATTGATGTAGAAAAAAAAAAAAAAAAGGAAATTAATGATTTTTTGTTCAATAAATATATAAATTTTTTTGCAATTAAATTAAAAATATATTTATATTTTTTAACTGGCTAAAATGGGAAAAACATTTTCTTTGTAACCATTAAGTTTTTGCAACTGTGTTGATCAAGCTCTTAAAGCACATTAAAATGTAATATTGAAAAGCTTTGTTGATAAAAATTAATAAACATAGGCGAATTAATACATAATATGAGATAGTTTTAAAGCTTTTTATAAAACATCAAATATTTTTAATTAAAGTTTGGTTAGGTCAAAATTTTGTATAAAGCTTGTTCAATTTACTCAAAGTTTGTTTACCTACTGTTGTTATTTTTCATCACCAAATATTTGTAAATCATTTTCAAGTCAACGTTAATTGCTGCACAGAGACTCCTCGGCTAAGACTGACAAATCATTAAAGTTAATTGCCGTTGACCCAAATTCTAAATGTCTAGCAAAGAAAAAAAAAATGAATGTCTCTACACGCAGCAGCTACTTCTCAATTAATGTCTCAAGGTTCAAGCGTCTGCCACCTCATTTTTAAGTATATGGTATGCCATAGTTGGGCTCCCTTGACATCCGCATTCTTAATGGTTTTTATGGTTACAGGCAACATACAATTTAACACTTTTACTTTTGAAGTTTTTGTTGTTGTTTTTTATTTTGCCTGTTTTTTTTTTTTTTTTTGCACAGCTGACAATAAGAAATTATAATTTACATAATAATTTAGCGGCATTTGCTGATTGATTTCTGCTCAGCTCAGCCTTGAAATGCGACCCAAAAAGCTCTGTTGGCGCGGTTGTCGCCTGAGTCTTTTGTATGCCCTTAATTGGATATAGCAAAAAAATAGAAAGAGAGATAGGGGAAAAATTGAAAACATGCAAAACATTGAACAGCTACATGAAGTAGATAGCCCAATTTGCATATGAAGTTGGCGGAATTTGCATGAAATCTGCGCAAAAACTATTTTTTCTTTGCCTTAATGCCGGGTGGCAGCTGCTTAGATGCCCATAGTCAGATTATATGTCGAACATGGCGGATTTGCATAAACGGATTCGCATTTATCACTCTTTGAGAGCAGGCAGAAAGGATGGTACTTCTGATATGGCAAATATATGCTTTTAGTGGGCTGTTACCTGTCCATCAATTAATCTAATTGGGTTAAAGCAGAGAAACTAGAGACTAATTGATTTAAATACGGTATATATTTACAAATGGGCAAGTCGATAAAATAAGAGTTGAAAGCTGTACATATATATAAAGTGTAATAATTTGAAAAGAATATCTTAAATAATGTAATGAAATAATTTTTCAGATGAGGATGATTGATTTGTTTGATTTATGGTCGATTATTATTATTTATGGTCGATTTTGTTCGATATATATATGTATATATATATATATATATTTTTTTTTTTTTATATATACGGAATTTTATAAATTTGATTACAATATAATTATTTTAAATTTATATATATTTGTAAAATCTCTGAAAGACTTTAAAAACAATATCATGTTTTATTAAATGCTTATGCATTGAAAATATTAAATTTTATATATTCTTCATTTTATTCAGTTATACATTTATTATTGTCATGTAGAATTTTTTTGTATATATATATTTTTATTTTATGGTTAAAATTTATTTCTTATTGTCTTTTATTTCATTTAATTTTATTCCATTTGCAGCCATTTGAAAATGATTATTGAATCATTGCATCAATAAAAGTTCAGTTCGCAGCATCTTCCTGTTCCGAAAACCCGCTTGCTTTTGTATACCAAACGTATTAGATCTCTTAAGTAACTGGAAATGTTGTCTGTCGACTTAAGCTTGTTGTGACAGCTCAATGCAAAAAAAAAAAAAAAATTAAAAATCTCATAGACATATTCCGTAAAATTCTTTCACACAGTTTATAATGTAAAGTTTCGATATTATTTTTAGTATAATTGTGTAGCCCGTCACGTTAATAACTCGTTAAGATAACTCTCAACGAAATTAGGTATTCCAAGTGTGTGGTGCTTGTTGCTTTTTGTTGTTTTCTTGACAACCCTCGTGTTTTTTGATATTGGCAACCTTTTTTGCTTAAGCACAGCGCAGAATATCTGGTTAATTTACATATCGATTGTCAATTTGCCGTTGTTCTATGGCGTTGACCCGTAGCAGACTCGTTTCACAATAGCCGATGTTGTGTATTCCCATCAGCCTCTTTCATCTCTGATTGAGTAAGGTTAGGTAGCGACTTTTCTGACCGACGGACTGGCTGACAGACTGGCTGGCTAACTGGCTGACTGATGTATGCCAGTCAACGAACGAAACGGGCTCGAGAGCTCAAATTACCTAATGCCACGTTCGTTCTATGCGGATCAGCAGCCCGCCCCACTTACTCCGATCTGCGAACCCTCTGTCAGCACTGTGAGCTCTCGGATCTAAGCGTGGGCAGCC